TACGCCTTGGTAATGATTTGAAAGATTGCCAGAATGATTTGACTTTTTGTTGTGGTTGGGACATCGGGAATTTTTTTTTAAGAAATGGTTTCATGTAAACTTTTTTTACATATACTAAAATTGGAACCGTGTGATTGGCTCCAGATCCTGAGAATTGTTGTTACACGAACCCTTTACTTTATATTCAGAATTCCAGTCTATAGCCTGAAAAGACATTGACTATTTTACATAAAAAATATTCGGTGTGAATTTCTTCGTACAACAATGAATTGATATTTTGCTAAAAATTAACTATATATTTACTAATTGATAATTCATAAAATCCAAATTAAATTATCTTTTTCATGTTGTATCTTTAGTAATTCCTAAGCTTTAAAAAATTGTCATAAGAGCAAAGCAAACATACAACATTCCCACAGGATAAGCTACTAAAATACGTTGCTCCGACATTGATAATACTGTTACAAACATTGTGGATGAAGAATATGTACACCAACCAACTGCAAGAGCGGATGCAATAAGACCAATCGGTCCACTGATAATAAAAAAAATATATATATAATGTTAAAAAAATATGTTAATTGATAAAGAAAACACATTTATAATGGCATAATGGTTTTAATTCTACAATACCTTAGAGGTACTACAACGCCAACACAACTTAATATTACCAATGGCAATAAGCAATAACCTAATACACTAGCCGTTCGGTACCCATCTATTCCTGACTCACTCATAAGATTCAATATCATATAAATGGAAACACATCCGAGTAAAGCGACCCCATAAATATATCCAAAATGAATTTTTCCGGTCTATCGTCGACCCATAACCGCGAGAGACAAAAAAAGTTACATGCGGTAATCAGTGATAGATAATAATATTAAGATCAAATATTATTATTCACAAATAATAAACGATAAAATACCAGTAATAGACAAACACCAAATATTAAGCAAAATAAAAGTGGTCCAGCCAAATCAGTATCGGTCATTATATCTTTGTCAACTGCTCTAAATGGATTTAGAACTGCCAAACTCTAAATTATATAAAGGAGAATTTTAGTTTTTGACAAAAGAATTGATAGAAAAACCAGTTTGAACCCACCTTTGATTTTATATGTTCGAAATTAATACCAAGCTCTGTAAACAACAAATGTATCATTTAATTTACCACATAACTCCACACTATGTATAGTAAAAATTCAATCGAGAAATCTACCGTCTAATAAAGGTGGTTCGCCGGGAAAGCCTCCAGTTCCAAAAGCACTCCAGAAACCACCTGTATTACCGCCGTTGTTGTAAGGGTAAGGTTGCTGAGCATAGTAACCAGAAGATTGTTGTATATAAGCATTATTAGGATATCCATAAGATGTAGGGTAAAATTGGAGTGTTTCTGGCGTGCCAAAGTCATAAGACTCGCCGTTGTCGAAGAGGACTGAGTGTACTTGTCCTTCTTGTCTTTGCGTCATGAAATATTCGAATTTACGTGTACCAACTGTGTGCGTACGGCATAGTAAAAAAAAAGCTTTTTTAAAAAGCGCCAAATATTGAAATTACGTAATCAATTATGATTGGTTAATTTGTAGTTCTACCCGTGATAATTAACCAATCACAATACATAAGTTTTAAAAAGATTTATCATTTTAATACTAAGGTGGGTATGGGTATTGTGACGCACTACCAATTATGACGCAGTTGCGATATC